CTGAGCACACAAACTTATCCACTACACCACTGGGCCAGCCTCCTTTTTTGCGTGTGAGTAAAAAATGTCTGTTAGACTTCCTTTCAGAACCCCAGCATCACAAAGACTGTGAACCATCACCAAAAGCCATTCAGTTTCTTATAACCAAATGAGAGGCTTCTTCGTGGGTTAAGCACCAGATATGACTGTTCTTGCTGACCTATTCAGGATGTAAAAGTCCTAAGTCATTATATGACACTGAAGTTTCAAAAAAATTCAAACAGCAGGAAATAGAGCACAACTCTTACCAACACATGCATGCTACAGTAGCAGCCACAAAATATGTAGTATCCTGTTCTGCCACATTCATTGGGCTGGATTATATTGTTTCATAGACCCAGTTAACTCTGGAAGAACTTAATAGGTGCATATCATTTAGTGTGGGGGCGGGCAGCATAATTAAACTCACAGTCTCTAATTCTTTTCAAGTTCAGATGAAAGCAACAATTTCTAACATTCAGGGTGTGTTTCCAATTAAATAAAAATCATAGTAAGCACCTCTAGTTTCTTCTTCAGGATCTTTATCATGAAAACTAATTGTATGGTTCTGCCCCTTCCACCCCCTTCGCCCCCCACCTTTCTTCTGGAAGCAGCAATATCTTGCTGTACCTGAAAATCTCCATCCAGGGCACAGGTAGCCACCATAGAATGTGTCTGATCTCCTTTGTGCCCAAAAAGAAATGGCCTAAAAGTGGGGGCAGTGTTGGGTAAGACTAGATGTGGTAACTTGGATTAGCGTTCCAATCACTAGGACACACTTCCATTGGCTCCTGTCCCCTCCCACCAATTAACTAAGGCTCTTCATTGCTCAAGTAATTGTTTATAAGAGAAGATATTAAAAGAATTCTTAGGCCTACCTTTTCGTGAGGATGTCTTATAGGACCACACCTGCTCTAACTGAGGATTTCAGACTTCTCCTAGGTTAAGTTCAGTGAGTGAGGTTTATTGGCAGCCCACACTGACAATTCTCACCACACTGTGAGTCCTAGAGTGCTGGAACTTTGTCCAATTCATCTTTGCACCCCCAGCACCTGCCATCATGCCTGCTGTTAGGAAGTCACTAAATATTTGTCAAACGAGCATATCTTATTTATCTTTCCTACTAGAATTTAGTTCTCAGAAGGGAGGAAGAACCATGTGAACTTAAACTTTAGATTCAATACAGGTTGGACAAATTTCATGTACAGGGAAAGAACTTAAGCTATATCTTAATACACATTTATCAAATTAAAGAAAAAGTAGTAAGTTCAGTAAACACAAGGGGGTTTCAAATATAAAGTGTCTTCAGTCAAAGTGTAGAGCCTGAACAAGGTATGTGAAAAGACCACTCAGAACACTTGGGGCTTTGCGCTTGGAACCAGATGAGCAGCCCCCGAAGCAAAGCCCCACAAGGGGGAAAGCACGGTGGGCTGGGGGTTTCAGGGAAGGCCCAAAGTGAGAGGTGAAACCCACTGGGACTGCAAAGACTGGATGAGAGCCAGACAGAGCCCACCACTCCACCTCCACGGGCTTCCTAAATAGTCACCGCCCCCACCATTTTCAGTTGGATGATGAGTCAAACCAAAACTGTCATCAAAGCTGTTAGGCTTTTTCCTCCTGTTCTTTTTGCACCTAAGGCATACCAGGGAGAATAAAAAGACAACAAAACTTTTGCAGTAAAATAGTGAGTTTGAAGGAGTGACCTATTTATTGTCTTTGGCAAGCGTCCAGGACAGGGTTTCACTCAGCCCCTCCCCCTCCCCGGGGGGGGGGGGGTGTCTGTGGGGGAGGAGGGGGCCGAAGGAGGGCTGATTTCATCCCTTCTCTGTGCAAGCCCTCACTCCTTCTGCCTCTGAAAATAACTCTTTACCTGCAGTTTAAGTGGGACCAGGTCTAATGGGATCTCACATACGCAGAAAAAAAATTTTTAATAAGAAAACAAGAAACAAAAGCCTAGTACAGCAAATGCCACTGAATGGTACATTTTAAAATGGTTGCTAGTTGTTTATGTGAATTTTACCTCAATTTTTAAAAACCTGAATGGACCAACCTTAATTTGCCATCTGTTAAAGTCTTTCTAAAGTCATGAAATTTGTCCATCCTGCTGTGTGTTTATAAAGGGCTGGATCAGACCAAAAGGAATTCAGCACGGTGAGGAAGCCCTGGACTCCAGTCTGAGTTTTAGCCCAGCTCTCCTTCCTCTTGGGGATCCTTTAACTTCTCTATGCCTCCATTTCTTTTATAAAAATACCAGGATTGGAATATCTGTTAACCTAGGTCTCTTCCAGAAGTAAGCTGTTTGATTTAAAAGCAGGAGGCATTTACATCTTTATTGCTACCTTCCCAAAGAGCTTCTTTCACGTTAATCAGTAAGTCTGGGGCCCAGCGATGTGAGGAAAGCATCCAAACCTAAGCAAATCACTTTTCCTGGGTCTCTCCTTACCCACGCACTCGTTCATTGAAAAAAGCAACAATTTAACACATTCCGAGACACAAAAACAAACAAAACTCAACTCTACCCCTGCAAGCGTGTAGCCTACCGACTATTTTGAAACCATATACAAAAGGACAAATCACGACAGCCCAGGAAGTGTCGGAGCAGCGACCCGGCGAGCGCTGTGGGGCTGGGAAAGGAGGTGGCTCCCGAGGGCGGAGCTGCTGGGACGGCCCCGCCCGGCTGAGCGCAGGCCAAGGGGGGCGGGCGGAGGAGGGGTGACTCGAGCCAGCGTGCGCAACCCGTTAGGCACTGTCATTCCCGCCTGGCCCACGGGGAACTCGGGCTTGGCAGTTGGGACGAGTAGCTCCCCACAATGTCCTTCTTAATTACAAAGAGAAAAATAGGTACCTCACAGTGGAGAAAACTGGCAGACACCGTCTTATCCAGGCATCAAAGTTAAAATCACCAGATATGGAACAAATTGACATCATGTGCTTCCTGATAATACACTGAGAATTCTGCGGAATTTCTGTCAAAAGTACCTAATTTGATTTTAATCTTTTAAACATTTTAATCAAACACCAGGCAAACCCAAACTGAAGGATATTCTACAAAATAAACGAGGACTGTTCAAAAATATTGTCCTGAAAGATTAAAAAAAAAGAAGAACCATTCTCGATTAAGAGTCTAAAGAGACATAACAACTGAATGCAATACACGATCTGGGATTTTCTGTTGCTGTAAAGAACGTTATTCAAACAACTAGAACAATCTAAATAAGATCTATAGGTTAGATAATAACATCAATGATAATTTCTTTATTTTGTGTTTATGTAAAAGAATGCTCTTATTTTTAGGAAATACACACTGAAGTATTTAGCGGTAAAGGGACATCATGTCTGCAACTTATTCTCAAACAGTTCTGATAAAAAGCATGTGTGTATGTATACGCATAAATGGAGAGAAAGGGGACTAAAACAAATATGATAAAATGTTAACATTTGTGAAATCTGGGTGAAAGATATTTGGAAATTCTGTATGCTGTTGCGGCAACTTATTTGTAATTCTGATTTTATATCAAAATAAAAAGTTAAAAAAAGAAGGATTTGAGAAGTTGAACCTTTTGATGCTGGAATACAAACCAAGATTCGCCTGACCATGGTTTTGACCACTGGCTATTTACTGCCTCTCTATTCTAGATCAACAATATTGGACACATCGGATTTTTTTATTGAGATATACTTTAAATACTATAAAATTCTCTTTTTTTTCTTTTCTTTTTTTTTTTTTTGAGGAAGATTAGCCCTGAGCTAAAATCTGCTGTCAATTTTCCTTTTTGCTGAGGAAGACTGGCCCTGAGCTCACATCCGTGCCCATCTTCCTCCACTTTATATGTGGGACGCCTACCACAGCATGGCTTGATGAGCGGTGCCATGTCTGCACCCAGGATCCGAACCGGACAACCCTGGGCTGCTGAAGCGGAACGTGCGCACTTAACCGCTGCACCACCAGGCTGGCCCCAACTTTTTAAATGTACAATTTAGTAGTTTTTATTGGTGCAACCATCACTGCTATCTAACTCCAGAACATTTTCATCACCCCCAAAAGAAACCTCTGACACATTAGCAATCACTCTTCATTCCCTCCTATCCCTCACCCCTGGCAACCACTTTCTGTCTCTATCCATGTGCCTATTTTGGATATTTCGTTTAAATGGACTCATATAATCTGTGGCCTTTTGTGTCTGGCTCCTTTCTTTTAACATATTGTTTTCAGGATTCATCTATGTTGTGACATCTAACAGTACTCCATTCCTTTTAATTACTGGGCAATAGTTCGTTGTACGGATATGCCACAATTTATCTATTTGTCAGTTGATGGACATTTGAGGTTTTGGCTATTATGAATAATGCTGCTATGAACATTCCTGCAGATTTTTTGTGTGGTTGTATGTTTTAAATTCTCTTGGCCGTGTACCTAGGAGTGAAATTGCTGGAGCACATAGTGTATTAGTTCACTAGAGCTGCCGTAACGGAATACTGCAGCCTGGGTGACAAACAACAGAAATTTATTTTCTCACGGTTCTCCAGGTTAGAAGTCTGACATCAAGGTGTTGGCAGGTTTAGTTTCTTCTGAGGCCTCTCTCCTCGGCTTGCAAATGCATCCACAAGCAGAAAATTAACTTTTCTCTTGCAGAACTTGTTTACTTTTGACGACATAACTTGTAGCACTTTATCATGTTTAAAAAAATTGGGGGAGAGGAAAAGCCGGGGTGTGCGCACGGGACAGAATATGCCTTTCTTCCACATTTGGTTAATAAAGCTCGAAAACTTCTTTTCAGAATCTTTATGCCATTGGTGCTTTATAAGAGCCTGGTAAATTAAAAAAAAAAAGAAAGAAATTTGAAAAAATTTTGTTAGTTTCATCTGCATATGTTAAATGCCTTTTGGAATAGCCGTTAGCTCTTTTTGACACAATAAAAAGTATTTTAAAGAAATCTATGTTTAATTTGTTATTTTCGTATTAAATAGTGTGACTTCTTTGGCCTTACTTTTTAAAAGGTGAGGAGTGAGTCGTTCACTCACAGAGAGCCTGAAAATGTTAATTAGAAATAGCTCAGTGCAGAGGTGGAGCATCCAAAGGAGCCAGCAGTGGCTGGTTTTCTGGTCCTGCTGAACTGGGGGCTGGAGCATCTTTCACTCCAAGCTACAGTGGATGGATCCAATCTATCCAAGAGAGCACCATCCAGGGAAGTATGTCTAAAACAACTTGTCAGAAGGAGCACGTGGCCTGAGGCAGGTACTGGGAGAACGTGCAGAGCCAAGGGAATCGGATGCCAGTGAAGATAGGAATCAGGAACGTCCAACAGGGCAGAGGAACAAGAAGCTTCTGGAGCAATTTCAGAGCTTTAGTAGTTGCCTAAAGCTAAGCTTTACATTCTAATAGAATGTTGTTTTGTCAAGCTGGATGCTTTGGAATCTTCCCGAATGGAACACATGGGAGAAATAAGAAAATTTAAAAGAAGGTTGAAGTTGATGTCACAAAACATAGGATAGAACTGAGCAGAGGTAGGTGGCTCTGACAAACCAAGGATACTTAATTTGATTATTTGGGAGAGCTGATTGAGTCAGTAACTTGTAATAAATTTTGAAAAATAGTGTTTATGTAGGTTTAAAACTCTTGAACTCAGCTTGACAGCTAGTATATAGGATCAAAGAAGAGAGGATATTGGATATTTGTATTTAAAGCATAATTTTTTTTACCCTTAAAAATCTTTTAACTTTTCTTCGTCATCACCCTTGGTATTATGTGACTTTCTTAAGGTGTTTTAGAAGGGACTGACTTCTGTTTTATAATAGGACATACGTATATAAAATAATCTATAAGAAGAAATGTTGTTTTTATTTTCTTAGTTTGCATTCCTAAAGCTTTCCATACCCACATGGGAGTGCCTGCTACATTATTAAAAAGGTAGATGTATAATGAGAGGAGGAAAACAGCGTCTTTAGGACCTGCCAAAACCTCCCAGGTATGTGTCAGACACTTTGTTTTGGCAAGTTGGAACTTGTATATTTCCATAATAAACAATGTGATTCTGCTTATTTCTCAACACTTACAGGGAGGTGAAATTATTTCCCAAGACGCAAACAAAAGTTAAATCTGCAGAAACAGATCTATAGGGTTATCTTTTGTTCTAAAACAAAAGATACATGTCATCAAAGAAGTATATCAATTTGATTGTGTTGGTGTTACATTTACAAAAAGTCCCTCAGAGCCACTTGTATAATCTGAGTCAAGAAATTGGACCAACTCTGCAAATATTAGGGTCTATTATATGGACCATTACAGTTATGATGTCCAATGAAAATTCTAGAAGAATATTGGATAGGTGGAATATTTCTAAACATTCGGAATCCTTTTAGTTATGTAATCAAATCCACTTAGCATCAGAACTTTTGGATATTTGACGGAATTACCCAAAGGAAACGGAACAACAAAAGGAGACTATTTAAGGTGTTGACTTCGTGAAGGTATCAATTCCTCAAAATTCTTCAAAAACAGATTATTGACTCAAAACATGAGACATATTCTTTTCTGCTCTATGAATATCCAGAATGCCCAGAAAGGATTAGCGAACCACAGCTGGAATATACAAAAGTTGTAGTTTTATGGATTTTTTTCAAGGATTCATTCTTTCAAGTATGTGCTTTATGGACTCAGATAGCCAACGGATACTTACATTCGGAGGTTAAATAAATTTGCTTTTAGAAAAAAAAAATTATGAATCTGCCAGGAGAACTAATCGCTTTCTTCTGGTTTTAACAAGGCCAATTTCCAAAAAAGCCAGAGAAAACCACAACAACCTGAGAAGGGAATCTTTCTAGTACTCCAACTGGAATAAATAACTCTCTCTGAGCTTACTTTTCACTGGAATTTATATCTCATTAGGGATGAAATCTCAGCAGAGTAATGTGCTCAGCACCATTCAGGCTGGAATCTCACCAGCCATAAACATCTCAGAAATACACATCTAAGCCAGCCTCGGCCGGGAGCCAAGACAATACAGTAATCCACTTGGACAGCTGAGAGGGTGAAGCTGGGTCAGAGATAAGTAGCGCCGGCTGCTTGTTCGTAGCTCACCTCGCACCTGATAAGCCCAGACACAGGGCTGCGCAGCACAGGTGTTCCGGTTGTGTCTGCCTAAGACTTAAAGACTCCACCATCCAATCTCTGTTACTGTAACTATACTCGCCCCTGAGACTCAATATTTGCCAAAATGAATAAATTTCCTAAGTGCGTGGAGGCTGCTGAAATAAAATCCTCAGTCTTTTTTTGAATTGTAGTTTTGTTTCTCCTTGATTTTATTTCATTTATTCAATAAATATTCGAGTGCTTCCTACGTGTTAGGGGTTTCCTTATGGTTAAGCCAAGCAGAGGAGAGAGAGCTGCCAAAGTTTGCCCTGTTCAGTTTCCTTCCAAAGGAACAAACTCCCAAAGGAGCCGGCAGTTTACAATGATGTCTTCTATGGCGGCCGCCAGTGGTGGGGAAACAAAAGTGTCATAGCTTACTGGTGACAGATGGAAGTAATGGCTTGGGTTCAAAAAAAATGTGAGTTTATGGACCAACCACATAAAAAAACCAAATTACTTTAGTTACACAGTGTTTAGGGTATTAGGTAGTATAAAAGTGTAATTTAGATAAGCCCTTTGGTGTTGCCAAATCCTAGTAGATTTGAAAATTAAAATGCTGTGATTATGAAATAGATTAACACCCTCTGTATATTCCCTACCTCCAGTGTAGTAGCCAGCATGCTTTCTGTTGCAAGTGACAGAAAACCAGTGTGAGAATAAGAAAGCTTACTGGCTTGTGTAACCGGTCAATTCAGGGTGGGGCTGGTTTCAGGATGACAGATCCAGGGTCTCATGAGCTTGTCAGGTCTTTTTCTCAACTTTGCTTTTTCAGTGTTCTGGACCTATTCTCTTCTATACAGATGGGTTTTTTCCACACGGCTGGGAAATTATCAGACAATATCCCCCAGTTAACATCTGCCCCACCTCCATACTGCCAAAGGCGAAGCACCTTCTCCTTCAACTCTAAATGTAAAATCCCAGAGGGATTTTCATTGGCCTGACTTGGGTTGCATGTCCTTGCCTGCTAAAGCCAGGTAAGTGGGATGTTGGGAATGTCTGGAATGTTCCGTGCCCACTCCAGTGCAGGGTCTTGATTTAGCAGCCCCACCAAAATCCCACAATGGCATTGCTGTAGGAGAGAGCCAATTCCTGAAAGGAAGAAGAGCAATGCAAACAAAGCACAAAGACATTCCTGAAGATTCCAATCCTCAACTTTAAATCTGCCCTCATCTCTTGGTTTGCCTGTGTTCCGCTGAATCTTTGGCTAATATGGTTACAGTTCTGGCTCATTGGTTCTTAAACCTTAACATGCATCAGAAACATCTGGAGGGCTTGTTGAAACACAGATCAGTGGGAACCACCCTGCATTTCTGACTCAGTGGGTCTCTTTCCAAGTGATGCTGATGCTGCCAGATCAAGGATCACACATTGAGAAGAAGTGTTCTAGGATTTTATTTTTTTAATTGTCGAAGAGCTTCTTATCCAAATAAATACCATTCCTGGATGAATTTTGCAAATCTTTCTAATCTTCAAGGAACACATTATTCTGATGCAGATTAACATTATGGTCTTGGGCAAGTTACTTAACCACTCTGCCAATTTTCTCTTGTGTAAAATGGAAATGGTACTTACCTTATATGGTTGTTGTAGAGATTAAATGAATTAATATACGTAACACACTTAGAAGTACATCGTATGTAATATACAAGTGTTTGCAAGTATTTAAAATGCTACAGAGAATAGAGAGGGAAATCATCCAAAGTATTTTATAATGGAATCAAAATATCAATATCAAATCGTGAAAAAGATTAAGCACATAGAATGCACCTGTACATTAAAGAATACAATATTACAACCAAATTGGTTTTCATTCCATCTTCTCATTCTTGGGAAGAAAAGCTAGACCCACACTTTTCCTGGCCCTGGGACTCTGAGTCAGGAGTGGGTAATGCAAAGAAGCAGGAGTGAATGAGAACCCCGTCTGGTGGCAGCATTCGGGATCTGCAGGGGAGGCATCTCAACCTGGCTCTTCTGGGCATAATTGTGGCGGAAGTCTGGCTTCCCAGCCTTTTTCTTTTTTTTTTAGAAGAGATAAAATTTGATTTTATTTTTAAAAGATCAGTATTATTGTGTCTTATAAAGCTGGGAAAAAAAGTATTTTAGGCAGAGAGATCAGAATGCCTTAAGTTTGTTCTGTTGACCCAAGGGATGAAACTAGTAACAGGTAAATGCTACAGGAAGTTAAAGAACATTGGCAAGACCATTACCGGCATTGGACAGAGACTGATGAGTCTTCACGTGGTAGGAACGTTGCAGTGAAGACTCAGATATCAGATGGGTACTCGGACCAGAAGAATTCATATTTGCAAACTTGAGATTTATTACTGGATGCTTCTGAATCAAGGAACAAGCAAAATCCCAAACTTCAAGGGAACCCTCAATTCCATGATTCTCCATCTTTCTTGTTCTTAAAGACTGAGTTTGACCTTCAGCCTTCCCAGAGATTCCAAGAACAATCAAATATCTTTCCAAAATCTTCTTCCCTTAAGTTGCTCAGCTTCTGTTTGGTATGTTTGAAGCAAGAATTTTGACTAGTGCTAGATGAATAGCTTCTTGACCTGATCTTAAAAGTGTATATCTCAAACTAAAAGCCAATATTGTATTTAACGGTGAAACACCAGAACCATTCCCATTAATGCCAGCAATAAGACAAGGTCATCTCTTACATCATCTACCATAGGAGTCTCTAGATTTTTCTAGGGAGAGGGTGGCAGGGAACAACGTTGATTTCACCAAAATCTGTGAACACAAGTGTAGGCGAGGGAAGCTGAGCGGCCAGTAGGATGCATGAATCAAGTCAAGGAGAGATTACCACAAACCAGACCAAGGAGCTGCAGCAGGAGAACTTGATAGTGTCTTAACATATTTTAAAAGGCTTAACAAATGTTCATACCCTTGTCTCAGCGGTTTACTTCTGGGGATTCGGCCTAAGAAAATAATCAGGGCCAACGACAAAGACTTGTGTGTAAAGGGAAGAAAATTTGCACCTGGACACAACAGACAATAAGCAGTCACTTGGGGCCAGTCCGGTGGTGCATCAGTTAAGTGCACACGTTCCGCTTTGGCGGCCCGGGTTCGCCAGTTCGGATCGCAGGTGGGGACATGGCACCGCCTGGCAAGCCATGTTATGGTAGGCATCCCACATATAAAGTAGAGGAAGATGGGCACGGATGTTAGCTCAGGGCCAGTCTTCCTCAGCAAAAACAAGAGGAGGAGTGGCAGCGGATGTTAGCTCAGGGCTAATCTTCCTCAAAAAATAAAAAAACAAGCAGTCTCTCTTTTAGGTGGAAACTGATTTCTTTTTCTTCTCCTTCTCCGTCCCCTTCTCGCCCTTCTTCCTTCTTATACTTTCGTGTCCTCCACCTTCCTCCTCCTCCTCTCCCTTCTCCTCCTCCTCCTTCTTAATCTTCTCCCCTTCCTCTTCCTCCTCTCTCTCTCTTTAATTTTGTCATAGCCTAATATGCCTTTTAGTCATAAGACAGAAGATCCTGGCTACTCTGAATGCGATAGGTTGAAAAAAAGTAAGATAAGTTCTTCTGAATATCAAATGGGAAATTTTCAGGTTTGACTTTAGAGCGCCAAGTGGAGGGGCCCTTGAACTAAGAATCAAGAGAAGATTTTGGGGAAAAGTCTCAGGATGAGGAGATGGGCCTTAGTACCCTGGAAGCTACTGAGAGCTTTGGGCAAGAAATGAAAAGTAAGAGGTTCTCTGTGGCTGAGAATGGTTAGTGAACTGGAGGGCCAGCAATGTCTGATCAGCTCGAATTTGTTTATTTTTTGCAAGTAATTAAACTCTAGTTTCGCTAGAATTTCGGTTAAAATCTATAAAACAAAAATATAAGATGGTGGTGTCTTGAGATTGTGTTCATGGGGAGCAAACAGGAGCACATAGAGATGAGCTAGAAATGACCTGAGAATGTAAGCAGAGAGGAGTCAGGACTGAGATGACGGGAAACCTCCAGGAGAATATAAATACCACCTCTCATCCAGGAGTTCTCACAACTACTGGGAGGGCACTGGGCATCCTGCATTTTTGTGGGATCAAGACACAGATATTTTCCTTGTATAGGGAAAAAAAGGGTAATCCAGAGGCAAGGGAATTTGGGGACATTCTGATTACATATGTGCAAGATTAGGGCAGCATTGTTTATACCTAGACATATCTACCTTCAGAACAACATGAAACTCTAGATATCAATTAGAATTCTCAAATTTACTGTCTACCCCAGCTTGAGGAGGCAGGAAGAGCTGGTCCAGCCCCAGTTCTGGGCCTCTCATGGCCCATCCACTTTCTCTTCCCACTCCCAGCTCTACTCCGGCCATGAGGGGGCTTGTGTGCACCCGTGAGAACACTTGTCCTCATATCTACGGTCCATCCACATTCTTGCCCACCCCTCGGGACTAGGAGCAAGCAAACGAGTGGTGTAGTCCATTCTTGGGATAATGGACCAGGAAAGGGGCCCAGTCAGGTCTCAAAAATGAACTCCTCAAGGCAGTTTGGGCAGAGAATTCCAGAGTACCCAGAGCACACTTGAAGGAGGAACTGCGACAGGTATGACAGGTCTGGTTCAAGTGCTGGCTCAAATCCAAAAGAGCTTTCAAAGATGATCTTAAGCTTGGTTTACCCTGTGATTTCAGCAATCTTGTTATGGTACAAGGGTATTTGAGGACAGGTATACTGAAGATAAGTATGAGGAAAAAACACAATCATAAAGATGTTAATAAAGAGAAAGGAGATAACTAGATAGCAGAGAAGACTGCCCCCTAAATTACTAATGTAGGTGTTTAGCATAAAGCCTTCTGTTCAGATAGTCCCATGTCACACCTGGGAATCTTAGGATTCCCAACACCACAGACCTTCTCGAGAGGCATCTGATCTATAGCCGGAATTTACTTAATTCTATTTTCTAAACCTTGTTTTTATAAGGATAATTTCATTTAATTATCACAACTGCTCAGTGAGGTAGATGCCAATCTAATCTGTAATGCAAGGATGAGGAAGCAGAGCCTTCGAGAAGTAATGTGACTGGGATGTGAACCCGGGCAGACCAGCTCCAGAACCCTCACTCCTGACACTAAACGGCAATTTCCCAATTGGCTAGTAAATCCAGAATAAACCTGAAAACTA